TTCTTTGGAATCTTGCTAGAGTTACTGTGTTCCTTTGGAGGTATTGTATTACCTGCTTTTTCATATTTCTTATGCTTCTACATTGAGATTTGCACATCTGGTAGATCAGATATGGTCTTCTTAGTAAGCAGTTTTTCCTGAAGATGTCTGTTATGTTGGCCTTGATTCTTGCTGGGCACTGTGGTGCTGTCTTCCTGTATCTTCTTTAGCTTTAATTAATGACTTTAGGCACAGTGTGTGCCATGGCAGTCAGAGAGACCCACTATCCCTGCAAGAGTGGGGACAGTAGCAATTCAGGCAGATATGGCATAGACACCAGTATCTATGTGGTGTTTACTGTGTAGCTATTCATATAATGGGAGCAGTGGGCTCCTATCAGGCAACAGCTGTTTCATCAGGCACTGTTGATATTAGCTGTGCTAGTTGCTAGTGCCTCTGGCAACTAGCATTGTTGAAGCACTTGTCCTCTGACCAGTCAGTGGTGTAAGCCCAGTTGCTGTACAAGGAAAGGTGGTCATGAGAACTTCAGCACACTTTATGCAGTACTCATAACCTGTCCTGACAGTGATACATGGCCAAAATGCAGGGACAGGCTGCAGTGGGATTCATGTAGTTGAGGTGACCATAGGAATTGCATGTTCTTCTCTGATGCTTTGGTGGCAGTGCCTGCCTAGTAAAGAACCTTGCTGGACAAAGTTCCTCTCAGGGGCCTCCCTATTCCTGTAAGCTTGGAGGCCAGGTGATAGAGGCATGGAGTTGCACAACGGCTCCTCACAGTGCCTGTAGACAAGAAAGCAGTAGGAACCATGGTGTTCCCTCTCCACACTTCCAGTAACAGGTTCCTGAGCTCAGTGCAGCTGAGGAGAGGTAATAGGAACCACATGAGCACCTGTCCTCAGTCCTGGCACTGGAGTAAGTTCACATGTACTGGCTATGCCCTTGGTTTCAGAAGGCAAGCCCCCTGATCTCCTGGTCCTTGAGGGCAGCAATGTTCGTTCTCTTCCCCCCAACAACCATTCCCTATTTTGCAGAGCACCCAGTGGCCTTACATTATAGTCACTCTGCTAGAACCAAGTTGGATTTGCTAGGCAGCTACTTCCCAAGCCAGATAGGGAAATATGCAGGGGTTTCTGACTTCTAGTACAGATAGTCTCTAAATTCAGACAATATCTCCCTTCTCAAGAAGGCTCCTGGCTACTGCACCCTGGGTGTTTGCTGGAAAATGACACTGAGATCTTTTCCAAAGCAAGGCTTCTGTGCAGATTTCAGATTACTTATCTGACTGGGCTGCAAGGATTGGGAAATTCCCATTAGCTAGGACTGCCAGCATCAGCACTGATGGGAATTTGCTGGGGACTCCATCTTTCACACTTACCCCTACAAAAGGGAGACTCTTCTTCCCTAGGCTATGCAGCTGAGGTGTCAGATGCTGGGGTATTTTTTTTCTTTCTATGCTCTTGTCCCAGGTCTCTGAATCTAACCAGGTTCCAATCTCTCTCTGATTCCAGTATTCTCCTGCAGTCACTCACCTCAAAATGCAACTAAGTGAGTGCTAGGCATCTCCATCAGTCATTTTTCTTTCTTTCTTTTCTCTCTCTCCTCTCTCTCTCTTCTCTTCTCTTCCTCTCTCTCTCTCTCTCTCTCTCTCTCTCTCTCTCTCTCTCTCTCTCTCTTTCTTTTTTGGTGGGACTAGGATTTAAATTCAGGCCCTTTGCAGTTGCAAAACAGGTGCTCTACCACTTGTGCCAACCTCCAGCCCATTTGCTCTGGTTATTTTGGAGATGGGGGTCTATTTGCCCAGGCTGGCCTCAAACCACAATCCTCCCAATCTCATCCTCCCAAGTAGCTAGGATTACAGGTGTGAGCTACTGGCACCCAACTTCTACTTAGTCATCTGATTATGAAGTATATGTTTAGAGATTTTTAAGAGTAAACATTACAGTCAGGAGCCAGAAAAACCTCAACGTATCATTTTAAATGTATTTACTTTCCTGTCATGCTATATGCAACTATATGGTGCCATTTATACTAAATGCCATGATTATTTATACAAAAGGCCTCTGTAGGAGACCAGTGACCAAAGCACATCCTTTTTGGGCAGCTGGGGATGAAATCTAGGTCCTCACACATACCAAACACTCTTTACCACAAAGCTGTACCTCAGGCCTGGAAGTATTTTAAATTTCTTTTCTTTTTTTTTTTTGGTCCCTTAAAACAGCACAGAATGACTTGAAAGGACATACAAGATATGTTTACTACATCCATCTATCTATGCAATATACCATCTTGGGTCCTATGAGACTTCTTTTGTGTGTAATGCAATATGCAGGCAGAAAGCAGTGATACTGATAGAAATAATTGATGGCATAGTTTCTTTAGGGGAAGTCTTTTCCTTAAAAGGACTGAACCAACAAAGGAAAATTGTTAGCCAGGTAAGGAATGGGTTAATAAATTCAGTTCTCATTTGACTATTTGCTTTTGTGGGGCTTTTTTCCTAACCCAGAATTATCTGAGCAAAGTTTTAAGTAACTACAATAAGGAACACTAAACACTGCTGTTTATTTACAGTCTTCCCTCTTATCTGCAGTCTCACTTTCCTTGGTTTCAGTTACTCAGGGCCAACCGGTCTGAAACAGTACAGCACAGTAAGTGTTGTAAGAGACCACATTCATGTAACTTTTATTGCAATATGTTAGTTTTTCTATTTTATTATGATTTCTTATTTTTCCTAACTTATAAACTTTATCATAGTCATGTTTGCATAGGAAAAAGCAGTATACGTAGGGCTCAGTACTCTGAGGTTTCAGGCATCTACTGGGGGTTGTGGAACATATCTCCCTTTCATGAATGGGACTACTGTACATCCATTCTGTTCAGGGTGGATGATGACTTATTTAAAGGCTATGATCATTTTCTGCAGGCCGTGAGTGGAGGACTTGCCCCACAGTAGCAGTAATCTCATTGATGTGAATAATTAAAGAGGAAGAATTGTTGCAAGAATTTTTTGTTTTGAGAAATTTTAAATGTTTAGTAGGAATTCTTTAGCTTCATATACCCTCACCATTTGTATACAAATAAACGCTTTCCCTTCTAGCCAGACACAGGCTCCACTGGTTTTTTTCAAACATTCTCGTCATAACAGTATTTTATTTGGGAAATATAAACAGAGAATCCAACTCATAACTTCTACCATTAATGTACAAATCAACTGGCTAAAAGAGTAATTTAAATTTGATGTAGAATGCACTGTAAGAGAAAGCTGTGATACCAAGACAACAAAAGATCTGCATTTTAGAATATATTTTGCTATACTATCTTTTATACTTATATTAATCTTTAAGTGATTACAAGTAATATTTTATGCCTCCCCAGCCTAATAATATATTCTGTATACTGACAACCTGATTATATATTCTATATGCTAGAAATTGTTAATTTTCATTCTTTTACCAAGAAAAGTATACTTTTATTTATGGGAAAGGGATTTTTTTAACCTAGATTTGATTATTTTCCCAATAATAATTGTTTTCTAAAAAGTTTTTTCCCTAATATAATGCTTAATAATCCTTGGCTTTCACAGGAAAAAATAAGTATGATCCATGTTATCATAGTATTTGGCTGACAATACACCTTATTTTTTGTATCTTTAATATTTTTATCACTATTTTTATCACTATGATATCTTAACTGATTATTACCTGAAGGAAAGCCAATCAAGTTTATTTGCCTTGAATTTATTTTGACTAAATATTTAATATTGTCAGTTTTTTAGACAATTGTTTTCGTCTAGTTTAGTCTTCTTCAAAAGAATCAGATTTTCTTCCTTTTTTTCCCACAGATTTGAACTCAGGGCTTCACACTTGCTAGACAGGCACTGTACCACTTGGGCCACACCTCTTGCCCTGAAGTTCAGATTTTCTAGTCTAGGCCTCCATAATCTATTTGGCCAATCAAGATTCAGGCATTAATTTAAACTTTTTAATTGTTCATCAAAACAAAATAAAGATGAAGGCATTTAAAAAGAGTACAAATAATTATTACTAGTAGACTAGGGAGGCTTCTTGAGTTCAACCTTTAAAGGGCAGAGAAAAAGCAGTTGGATTTCACCACTGCCAACCAGAGGACAGATTATGTCACACTCCCTTTCACTTCCCAGCACCACTCTCAGAGCGAGGCATCATCTCTGGCATGCTACTGCTAATGGTGTCAACAAGAGCTCACATTACGTGTAATCAGAGGTGGTGTGTCTTGGGAGTTCCTTAAAATGACTTTTAAAAAGACAGAATAAGCCAACACATTACTCAGGAATGGTTTCCAAATCTAAAACTCAGAAGCAGATAAGACAGTATTACTATTTCTACAAAGAATTAGGAGCTGTAGATTACTGGTGTGTGTGCAAATTTCCCCACTTTTCACTAGAGCTGTCCTGGAATTCAGGTCTACAACGTTCGGAAAATGAGTAGCTCATTCTCCATTCAATCTCACTACATATTACTCATTTGTATTAATTTTCTGAACTATTATTTAGCAGATCACACCAGCGTAACAGTACCTTCAGCTTTTAGCAGGTGGTCTTATTGTCCAGAACTTATAAATGACATATACAACCTTCTCTTTGGCTCATTCCTCATAATCATTATGAATGTTAGAGTGACACACTAACATTTTCAGATATATATATATATATGTGTATATATATATAGGCACAAATACATTAAAAACATTTTAAGAACAATATAAAACTGTACATTACATGAAGTGGAACCATAAAGATTATCCTAAATGTTAATTATAGAGAAAATGCATGCAAAGTGAGCCCAGTAAAGTACACAGCCTGTGGGATATGTAATTTTATTTTTAGTTTATAGTTCCTGAAGGATAGTAACAGATCTTTTCCTACTCAGAGGCAAAATATATTTTCAAAATTATAGATACTGCCCACTGCATTAAATTTAAATGAAAATGCTCCCTGTGTATACAATAAAAGTAAGCAAAACAACTTACAACACATTCCATTTTTTTATATGTCAAAAATGTTTCCAAGGCAGTATTATTAAAACGGTTATGCCACAGTCCTTAATGTAACATCGAGCTCTACATGGAAGGTACAGAGAGGACAGGAAAGTGCCACATAGGAGCTTAGGTGCTTTTCTTTTCTTCGCCCAGTAAATTCACAGTAGCTTTCTTGGCTGTTAGGAGGGAAAATAAAATTTTATCAAAACTTTTTATAATAAAAGTTCATTGCCTAATGTAGCTACTAGATAAAACTTGGATGACTCATGTACAGATGACAGCACACTCAGGTTTGTGGTCATGGCTAAGAGGGGCTCCAGGAAACAGACAAAGCACTTCTTTAGAGCACAGATCCTAAAAACTTAAGCAAAACTTATTTATTTTCTTTCTTTCTTTCTTTCCTTCCTCCCTCCCTCCCTCTCTCCTTTTCCCATCCCTTCTCTCTCTCTCTCTCTCTCTCTGTCTCTCTCTCTCTCTCTCTCTCATCTTTCTATCTTTCTCAGATCTAAGAGACTTGAGTGGAATTCTTTCCTTTTCATTCTCGCTCTCTCTCTGGTAGAACTGGGGTTTGAACTCAGGATTTTGTGCTTGCAAAGCAGGCACTCTACCATTTGAGCTGCACCTCCAGTCCATTTTGTTCTGGTTATTTTGGAGTGAACTATTTGCCTGGGCTGGCTTCAACCACAATCCTACTGACCTCAGCCTCCCAAGTAGCTAGGATTACAGGCATGAGCCACTGGCACTCAGCTAGATGTGAGCAAAATTCTTGAAGGTCATCTGGCCTTAACATTTCTGGGATGGTGTCATCTAAACTATCTGCCCTCTCTCCTTCTTTAAGCATCAAAAGAAGCAGAGATTCCTTAGAAGTAAGGTTCCCCAGTCAGTTTCTCTTTCTTTTTCCCTTTTTGGTGGGATTGGGGAATTGAACTCAGTATTTCATGCTTGCAAAGCAGGAGCTCTACCGTTTGAGCTACACCTCCCCCAGTCAGCTTATTTGCATCTAGGTACTTGCCTATAAGGTTTAACTAGTCATCAGTCTGACGAGAACTAAGTCATGCTATCTATTCCATGGTGATAAAAACCAGAGAAACTCCTCATGCCAGAAATACTTAACACTCTCTCACTGTGCCACCATTTCCCTCTACAATGGAAATAATTTGGGATCTATTATAAGAACCACTGTGATGTGTGAGATGGTGGGTGGGGCTAGGTTGCCCCTCAGTGAGATTCTACAAAGCAGCTGCTTTCGATGGAGCCCATTGTCAGTGATGAGGACCAAGGAATCCCTCTTTGTCTACCAGCTGCCCGACAGCTGCTCTCCCTAAACTCAAAATTGCTGAACAAAGTTAACAAAGAAGAAATTGTAGCCATTCTCAACTAGCCTGTGTGAAAATTCCTAATGAATCCAGAAGCTCTGAGAAAAGTCTACAATGTGTCATCATATAAGTTCCCCTTAATTTAATTCCTATGCTTCTGTTTCAGAATAGATATTAAATTGTATATTAAAGTACTGATATGTACAAGAACTAAGAGGCTATAAAAAGGTGGATGAGCCAGACAGAAATGACATCACCAGGGATTTTTGGTTAGGCTAAGGGCTGGAGGTACAGAAAAGAAAGTTCTATAAAAAAAAATGGGTAGCCAGGCGCCAGTGGCTCACACCTACAACTCTATGTATTTGGGAGGACAAGATTGGGAGGACCACAGTTTGAGGCCAGTCCAGGCAAATGGTTCATGAGACCCCCACCTCCAAAATAATCAGAACAAAATGGACAGGAGGTGTGGCTCAAGTGATAGAGCACCTGCTTTGCAAATGTCAAGCTCTGAGTTCTAACCCCAGTCCCGCTAAAGGAAAAAAAAACAAAAACAGAAAAGAAATTGGCAATCCCAAAAGGGGAGGACATGAAGTCTACAAGTTGGAACATACTTAAAGTTGTTTTGGGTTTTTTTTTTAATGTACTGAAGCAGACTAGAGTTTTATGCCCAGAAAAAGGAATCCAGCTGTGCACAGTAGCTTAAGCATACAATCCTAGCTACTTGGGAGGCCAAATGTGGAAGACTGCAGTTCTAGGCCAGCCCAGGCAAAAAGTTCACAGGACCCCATCTCAACCAATGACTGGGTGTTGTGGTATGCACCTGTCATCCCAGCTATACAGGGTGGTACAAACAAGGAGGATCATAGTCCAGGCCGGCCTGGTCATAAAGTGAGACCCTATCTCAAACATACCAACACAAAAAGGGCTGGTGGCATGGCCCAAATGGTATGGTACCTACTTACCAAGCACAAGGCCCTGAGTTCAGTCCCCAATACTGCTCCCTCCCCCCAAAAAAAAGAAGGAAAAGAGGGAGGAAGGGAGAGACAGAAAGAAAGGAAGAAAGGGAGGAAGGGAGAGAGGGAGAGGGGAAAAGGAAAGAAAGGAGAGGAAGGAAGGGAGAAAGGTAAGAGAGGAGAGGAAAAGGGAAAAGAAAGGAGGGGGGAAGAGGGGGAGAGAGAGAGAGAGAGAGAGAGAGGAGAAAAATCCAGAAGCAAGAGGTCTGTCAAGGAGTGTGGGACATATATCCTCTGGGGCATCAGTGCTGCAGCACTGTCTTACTTCCCAGTGGTGAGACCACCTCTCAACTCCCACTTCTAACTCTCCACCTGCTCTGTAACTACTCTGTATGGACTAATTTCACTTTAAATTCATGGACCCAGATCTCAAGTAAGCCTTCGGTACTCTGTGGCAATCACATGACCCTCTCCTACTCTGTCCTGGGAGGGTCAGTAAACTATAGCCACAATCCTTTACCTGTAGTCATATTGTCCTAGGTTGCTTTACACTACAATGCAGACCTGAGTAGTTGCAACAGACACCTGATGGCCCACAACTCCTGAAATATTTTAAATCAGGCCCTTTACAAAAAGTTTGTCAAACTCTTTTCTACACAACTATTCATACCTCTCCTTTTTCTCATCTCCTTCCTTCCTACTTTTCTGAGAAATTTGAAGCAATCAGAAAATCACTTCTTAAGGCTCCCAGTCACATATATCCACCTACCAGCATCCCCTCCTATTATTATAATGTTTCAGCCCCTCTGACCAATCCCTGCCTTTGTATCCTAGATCCTATCTCAGGTCTACTCAAGGACAAAGCTTTCATGGAATTGCTCTGCTCAAAGATAGCAATCCACCCTCTCTTATCATTTTTTGCTCTCTGCTGGATCATTCCCATTAATCTACAAACATGGCTTGTTTCTCCTACCTTAAGAAAGTTTTAAAATTCTAAGGACCACATTCTTTTCTTCCAGTTAACAGCCCCATTCTTGTACTCCCTTCTGTAGGAAATTTCTCAAAAGTGTATATTCACTAATGCCTTTTCTCCCATTCTCTCAAATCCCTTCCAATCAGGAGTTTGTTCCCAGAACTCCACAAAATTTGCTTTCTCAACATCACTAGTGCCTTCTTCTTTGCTAAATTCAATGGTCACTTCTCAGTCTTCATCTTACTTGACCTGTCAACAGCATGTGACACATGGATTACTTCCTCCTCTTTGAAATACCTTCCTCACTTGGCCCCAAAGACACCACACTCTCATGAATCTCATCTATCTCAACTGGCCTTTCCCTATCAGACTAACTGGCTGACTACTTCTCATCACTCTTGTCTCTTGATTCCAGACCTATTTCCTGAACTCTTGACATCTGTATCTACTAGCTGTTTGACTACTCCATATAGGTATCTAATAGACACCTTAAACATATGTCCAGAACTGAACTGCATATTTCCCCTACTTAAAACTATACCAGTCTTTCCCAGCTCAATGGCAACTTTATCTTCTAGCTGTTCAGGCTGAAAAGTTTGGTCTGTGCCTTGACTTTTCTCTTTCAAACTGCATGCCTGATCAATAAGCAAATCCTATTGGTTCTACTTTCAAAAAAATCAAGAATCTGATACTGGCTAGGGGTGTGGCTGAAGTGGTAGAACGCTTGCCTAGCAAGCACAAGGCCCTCAGTTCAAACCCCAGTACCACCAAAAACAAAAAAAAAAAAAGATACTCACTACTCCCTTACTACTAATAATACAAACCACAAACCAAGAAACTATTATCACCTCCAGCCAGATCACAGAAGGAACATTTTAACTTGTCTCTCAATTTCCTCCTTGTCTCCCTTCAGTCCACTCTTAATACAGTGGCCACAGATCACGTTACTCCTTTGCTCAAAATTCTCCAACAGCACCTTGTCACACAGAGTAAAAGTCAAAGCCTTTCAGCGGCCTATAAGGCATTATGTGATCTGTCACTTGGCCTCTGCCGCAACCTGTCCAACCTTGTCTCCTACTTGCTGTACCACTGCTCCCACTCGGTGCTTTTGCACATGCGGCAACTGGAGCGATCTTCCCCATGGTTCCTTCCTTTACTGCTTCCAAGTCTGACTCAGTATAGCCTTCTTGGTGAGGACTTCCTAATTCTGCTACTTAAAACTGTAACCATTCCTCCAAGTCCTGTTTTTGTCCATCTGCTTTATTTTTCTCTATATCGTCTGCTATTGTGTTTCTCAACTAGGCTGTAAGCTTAGGAGTATGGTTTCTTTGGTTCACTGACAGTGCTAGGAACATGTTTGGCACAAATTAAGCACCTCAATAAATAAATATTGAAATCAATCAGGGGAGCTGAGAGAGAGGGTATTCTTTTGTACCTATAACAAAAACAATTTGAACAGCATACCAAACAGGTCAACCTGAACTGAATTAAAGAGATTTGTATTTATATATACAGATGATCTCTGAAATTTCTGCCTGCAGTAGGGAAGTTGCTTTTCCTAAGGCTGCATTAAATATGTGTGTCACAGAGGAAGTATCTGGGGAAAAGTAAAATGCAAAAGACAAACTCTTTGTAAAGAAATTCCTTTAGAGGCCATGACATTTGACTGAGAAAAGCTGAACAGACCCAATGTATCACAACTTCTCCACATGCTGAACCAAACTGTCCTCAAGTCTTACCTTCTTTAGTGATGGCATCTGCAGTTTCTTTGGCTTTGTCTTTCAGGTCCTTCACCACACTGTCCACCTGGGACTGGTGCTTCAGGAAGAAGGGCCGGATGATACGCTTGTAGAGCAGCTCAGCCCCATTAGAAGGACTTGGGGCCATACACCACAACAGGAAGCCACACTGTGCGAACAGAGCAGCACTGGTAAGAGGGAGGGGCCCACTGCTACTCTGAGGACAGGTGTGTCCTCTAGCATTTTCTCTAATAGCATTTCTAGTGTTTTCTGCAGGCTAATGGTAGATTTTTCTCAGGTGGAAAAAACTTGACCAATAATGAACTAGTAAGGAAAGCTAGAAATGAAAAGGAAGGATTAAAACATATGAGGCCCAGTAGCTTTTTCGTTTACAGCAATAAGAGACTTCTAATATATAACGCTAAAAAAATCTGTTTTAAAAAATGTCCTTACCTGAGTGTATAAAGCCCTGCACACTACCAGGTATGAGTGTGCTACCTACAATCCCATGCTTGGGAAGTTGAGAAGGGTTGGTGAGTTCAAAGCCAGCCCGGATTACATAGCAAGTTCCAGGCAAGCCTGAGCTACGAGAGACTTTGTTTCAAAAACCAAACAAGTAAACAAAAAGGCCCTGTACAGATAAGTCTGATGTCCATGAGGCTTGTTTTCAGTAGGCCTGCTGAAAACAAGTCTGTCACATTCATCCATCCTATTACAGAACAAATACTCTGACCATAGATTGTTCCCTTGAGAGGACCTAGTTTTGGTGGATCTATAGCCTTCAAGGGATCTTCATAGTGAACTGTTCAGTATCTCTCACTTTGAATGTAGTTATTATACCTCTTTATGGCTCTCCTTTGCCATTGAGAAAGTTGACAAGAATTCTACCCTAATAACTTAAAATTAAATGCTTACTATTTACTGAGAGAGGTTTTTTTTTGTTTTCTTGCAGAGCTAGAGACTGAGCCCGGGGCCTGGAACATACTAGGCAGGCATTCTAGCACTGAGCTATATCCCCAGCCCATTTATTCAAATAATGAATACTAACTTGGCACTTCAAATCATTCAAACAATTTATTCCTCTATATAGAGGAAAAAGGTGATTTGCTCATTTCCCTAGGACATTAAATAAATAACATATTGAGTTATTTTAGTTTAACAGATTCTAACTACATTGTATTCCACACAGCCTACATGATTCCACATAAACCAAGAAGGGACTTCCAGGGATTCCAAATCTGCACTTTTATAACTTTCTCTTAAAGTAAAACCCTCTGAACTTCTTATGCCTTAAACCCACAGGCTTCTTCTTATCCCAGACCAAGGAAAGCATCCAAATAATCAAGATGCAGGGCCTTTCTAAGGAAGTCTGTTCAGTTTGCTCTACAGATGCAAAGACAGCAAGAAGCTAACACTAAGGACAGAGAGCTTGAGCTTAAATGTTTACTCCATCAACACATCCTGGCTCTGGGAATTTGGGTTACATTCTGAATATGTATTACACTCAAAAGAACAAAATGCAGTTACAGGGGGCATGCCTGTAGTTCCAGATACTCAGGAGCCTAAGGCAGGAGATCAAATGAGTCCAGGAGTTTAAGACCATCCTGGACAACAAATCTACAAAGTTCTGGAAAAGTAATATTCATTAATTAAAATTTATTACAGATGCACAAGAATTTTTAGACGACAAAGGGTATAAGACTGAATTAAACTATATATACCCTTTTTTTTAACAGAAGGTCTTGCTATATATAGCCCAGGCTGAACTTGAACTCATGATCCTCCTACTCAGTCTCCTGAGGGCTGGGAATGCAAGCATGTGTCACCGTGTCCAGCCCTTTATGCTTGGTGTAAAGAACACACCTAGGGCTGGGGGTGTAGTTGAGACATATTTTGAGTGCATGCCCAACATGTACAGGCTCTGGGTTTAATCCCCAGCACCACAGAATAAGTAAGAAACGTCTAAAACAAAACTAATTAGGAACACTGAAAATAAAGGAATGCAAAAACATTCATCAGACAAACACCAATTCCCAAAATAGCTCATATAGGAATATTAATAAACATTATTTAAGGCAAAATAAGTAAATAGAATAAGGAAAACAAGTTATTAAGTATTAAAATTCCTGAACTTATATAATTTTTGAAATATGTAAATATAAATAGCTTTTTGTATATTTGTATTTTTATAATATATAATTTATATTTTTACAATTATAGCTATATTTTTAAATATATAAATTTAAAGTTAAGGACTAAAGTATACAAACATAGATTTTAACAGTTCCATCAGGAATTCATATCAAATTGGAAATTACCAAGAATACGGAACAAAGAACACAAAATTAGAAATCTTCTTTGTTGTTTGTGTACGAGAGTTCGAACTAGTACTGGCAAGGCAGGCATTCTACCACTTAAGTCATGCCCGGGTCCTTTTTTGCATTAGTTATTTTGTTGATAGGATCACTTGCTTTTTGCCCAGACTTGGACTGAGATCCTCCTACCTAACCACCTGAGTAACTGGGAAAACAGATATGTACCTTAAAAATTTAAAAATCTTAATCTAACAATATATACAGATCTTTCTAACAGGGATTCTTTTTTTAAGAGGTGAGTCCTGCATGCTGTCCAGATGCCTAAGCTGGCCTCGAACTCTTGGGCTCAAGAGGATCTTCTGACCTCAGCCTCAGCTTTCTTAGCAGCTGGGACTACAGGAATAGCCACTGCACCTGGCTAAAAAGGGATTTCTACGAATCAGTTCAGCAGACAGAGGATAAAAGGATGGGCTCATAGAAACCGAGTTTCAGTCCTGGATATTCATTTGCCAGTGGGCAAACCTTGTATAAGTTACTTAAAGGCTTAGTTTGTTTTTCCTCTATAAATTAGGAATTATTTGAAAATTTAAAAAGTCTACCTCTTACAATTTTGTAAGAAATTTCTATAAGAAAATAAACAGTATTTGGATACTTATTCGCATAATTGGGGCTTTGTTCCAAGAATACTGTGTCTTTTACCAATATCCATGAAACAGTAACAGGCTAAGTTATTTGTTTTAAATAGAATAAAAGCAAATCCCAGAACCAATATTTTTTAAAAAAATGTTTTGCAGCTCTCCTTTTACTACCTGAAATGAAATTCAAAGTAATGATATACTTAACAAGTAATATAATTCTAACTACAATAAAAAGGAAAATGTGCCAGGCCTATACTCCTACCTACTTGGGAGGGAGAGATCAGGAGGACTGCAGTCTGAGGCCAGCCTGGGGAAAAAAGTTCACAAGACCCCAATTCAACCAATAAAAAGCTGGGTACAGTGGCTCACATATGTAATCCCAGCTACTCAGGAGACAAAGATCAAAAGGATCATGGATTGAGACCAGCCTAGGCAAAAACTTTGAGACACCCCAATTCAACCAATAAAAAGCTGTATGTGATGGCACACCTGTCATCCAGCCATGAGGGAAGGATACACAGGAGGATTGCAGCCCAGGCAAAACTGCAAGACCCTATTCAAAAAAACCAAAGCGAAAAGGGCTTGGGGAAATGGCTCAAGTGGTAGAGCATGAGGCCCTGAGTTCAAACCCAAGTATTGCAAAAAAACATTTCAATATGCAAATACACAAAATTATATGACAAAACACCATAAAATACTCATAAGTAGAATTGGTGGCTGTAATAGGTATAAACAATATCCTCCATATTTCCACCAAAGGTTGAGAATTTCTGGGCTGGAGGACCTATACAGCCTGTTTTCCTCATTAAAGCACACTGCCAAATGCATTCACTGCTGTTCTCTCCAAGTTATAATTTTAAGCCCACCCTCCCTTCACTTTTCCCATTCCTCACATCTGATAGACTCCAAGCTCATTATTGAGATTTGATTCTGGAACATACCATGTTCCAAGTGAGGAAGGCTCAGGAAGGGAAAGGGTGGCCATAGGAAAGGGAGGGGTTAAGGATTCAAATTAACCATCTAGTGTAATCTCACTACACATCCACAATAACACTACATACACGAACAGACAAACACACAAAAACTAATCTGGGGCTGGGGTGTAGCCTAGTGGTAGAAGGCCTGGGCCCTGGGTTCAATCTCCAAAACTGTCTGTTGTTAAAGGTCCAAGCAACCCAATGGAATCAAGGCCACACCATCAATGAGACACCTCAGTATGGGTAGGAGGTGCACATGTACTGTTAGTTCTCCTGGCAACTCTGCTCTAGCAGATATGATTGGCCAGAAGATCTCAGTGAATTACCAGAAAGGTGCCAGAGAAAACCTTGGTTTTCTGAGCTACACATCTGCATTAACCCAGACTAGAGAACTAAGTGACTGAATTTTTCACAATCTATAGCTTTCAATCTTTTTAGTGCCAGGTTAATTATAGTAGGCCCTGCAGACTATCTCTGCAGCTAACATTTCTCTGTGGAAGCCTTTAGATTTTAATATCCAAGTTTCATATAATGTTTTCCCATGGTCAGTTATATAGGAAATGCTAACACTTACACACCCCACTCAAACAAAATAATGTCCAAGGAAGTCCTGAGTTTTAATTTTGAAAGAACTTCATAATTCCTCTGGACATTTTTTTTTTTTTGAGACAAGTTCTCACTATGTTGTCCAGAATGGCCTAGAACTCTGGATCATCCTAACTCTATCTCCAGAGTACTGAGATTAGGATTACCTTGCAGTAATTTTGTTTTATTTTATAACTTTTTTGGTGGGACTAGAATTTGAACTCAGGGCTTTGTCCTTGCAAAGCAGGTATTCTACTGCTTGAGCCACACCGCCAGTCCATTTTGCTCTTGTTATTTTGGAAATGGTGTCTCACAAACTATTTGCCCAAGCTGGTCTCAAACTTCAGTCCTTCCTGATCTCAGCCTCCCAAAGACCTAAGGTTACAGGCATAAGCCATTCATTTTAAAAAGCATGCAGAGTTGGACAGATGGAGTGGCTTAAGTGGTAGAGTTCCTACCTAGCAATTCTGAGGCCCAGAGTTCAGACACCAGTACCACTGAAAAATAAATTAAAAAAGAACATTCAGAGCACCAAAAGGGATGTACTATACACTACTGTGCACAAAGCAAGTTTCTTACTAACTATAGTAAGTGGCGAGCAGGATGTTTTTTTAGTACCTAACATTCTAATGTGATATTTGCTACTTATATATA